AGCATGGTGTGCTTTGCTGCTAGCTTGATCACCTGATGCAGCGGTGTGAGCTCTAGCATGACTTCCAGTGCCACCATGGGGCATGTGCTCATTGCCCCTGAAGCACAGACACATGCAAGTCTTTGYARCTTTGACAGTCTCCGAATTACTGAAGACTGCGCTGCTTTGGTGGCCCAGGCARCCGCTCYATAGGTGACAATAGGCCWTACTRTCATGGTATACAGCCATCTGATGATACTTGGCTTGCATCCCCATGATCTGCCGGCCAGGCGTCTACAKATCATTAGTGCTCTAGTTGCTTTGGACAGCGTTAGGTCCAAATGCCTACTCCACCCTAATGATGAGTCTAAGGCGAGGCCCAGGAATTTGACCTCCTTAGACATTAYCACCTCTGTGCCTCCAATTGTTAGGGACCTTAGGCCCGGAAGAGATCTCCGCTTAGTGAATGGGATCACGGTGGTCTTTGCTGGGTTTATATTTAGCCCTACYGTGTTGCACCATCCTCTCGCCAAGTTTAAGCCCCTTTGAATAATGTCGCAGAGAGTGTTCTCAAATCTGCCTCTCGCCACTATGACAATGTTGTCCGCATATCCTTGACAACGGATTCCATTGCTGGTGAGCAGCTCGAGTAATTCGTCTACTATTAGGCTCCATAGCAGAGGGGATAGTACTCCACCTTGTGGGCAACCCCTTGTGGTGCCAAGACGAATCCTACTTCCTCCCACTGTTATTTCTGCTACCCTCGTGCGCAGAAGGGCTTCTATCCATCTGCGTATTGGGGTGGGTACGTTCCTTCTCTCCAGTGCCTTGATAACGCTAGTGTGAGATTCATTATTAAAGGCGCCCTCAATGTCTAGAAAGGCGCAGATCGCAACCTCGCCATTATTCAGCGAATCCTGCAGCTCAGACGTGAGTTGGTACAGAGCAGTGTTTGTGGATCTGCCCGCTCTGTACGCGTGTTGTATGGTATGTAGGGGTGCGATCTTCAGCGCTTCCGATCTGATGTGGATATCTATTACTTTCTCCATTCCCTTCAGCATGAAGGATGTGAGACTTATAGGCCGGAACGATTTGGCTAGCGAATAGTCTTTCCTCCCTACTTTGGGAATGAAAATTACTTTTGCGATTCTCCATGGCTCAGGGATGTACGACATCGCCAGGCTGTCTCTCATCAGCCCTAGCAGGTGTGGTAGGAGGATATCCATACCTTGCTGCAAAAGGGCCGGGAAGACGCCATCCGCTCCTGATGACTTAAAGCTTGAAAAGGAGGCCAGTGCCCATTTGACTGAGTCTGCAGTGAACAGGTTTCTTGCAGTCAGCCAATCTGAGCGATTTGGCCTACTTATGACCGCGGCTGGATTTAGGTCAGCTTGAACCGTCCCCGGGAAGTGCGTTTGTAGGAGTGTTTCCGCCCTCTCCTCCGCACTTGTCGTATAGGTCCCGTCGTTTTAAGGATAATACTATGTCCGTCTTGCCCTTCGACAACGCCTTATGCARCCGAGCTGCCTCCGGGGTTGAGGAGACGCTATCACAGAATTTCCTGAAACTGTTTTTCTTGGCAAGCCTAATCTCCTTGTTATAGAATGTTAGGTGCTGTTTGTAATCCTCCCAGCTGCCTGTGCGCTTGGCTTTGTTAAACAGCCCACGCACCTTAAATCTAAGAGCTGAGAGTTTACTGGACCACCAGGGGCAGATTTGTTTGCTGGTGGTCGCTTTTAGTGGACAGGCGCAGTAATAGGCGTCCATAATGGACTGGTTTATGGCACTCAGTCTGCTTTCCAGTCCAACTGTGGTGGACCTATCATCCGCCAGCCCCTCTCTACTTATATTGTGACTCAAGGTCTCTCTGAAAATACCCCAGTTCGTATTTCKAGGGGTACGTGTCGGAGGTTTGTCCGYRACTTTTAMCCTCAGAGCCAACCGAATGATCTTGTGATCTGACAGTGAGGGCTCCTTTGACACCCGCCACTGTGAGATCAGCCCGATCATGTTKWCGTTGCTCAGGGTAATGTCTAGGACCTCCCTGCGAACACTGGTTACGAAGGTGGGCTCACAACCCACATTCTCAATACTCATATTGTTACTAATTATAAATTCAAGCAGTGACTCACCCCTCACGTTGCAGTCYGAGCTACCCCATTCCGTGTGATGCGCGTTGGCATCACATCCTAATGTTAGGGGAAGATTTTTGCGTCTGCAGTACTCCACCAGACTGAGTATTGATGGGGGGGGTGCTGTGGCCGTCTCTCCCGGAAAGTATGCGGAAGCGAGGACGAAGTCCGATCCTTCTTGTCCTTCACTTGTACCGCCACCAGATCTTGCGTTAGAAACTCTGAAATACAGAAAAAGTCTATATCGGTTCTAACGACTACACAGGAGCGGGGTCTCTCGCTARAGAGATYCCAGATTACCTTGCTTCTTCTCGAGTTGAGGCCTCTTACCTCTCCTTTCACCACCCAAGGTTCTTCGATTAGGAGGATGCTCAGGTTATCCGAGATGAACCTCTTCACAATGACAGCMGAGGCTGCCGATGCGTGATGTAGGTTCACCTGAGCCACTTCCATGGCGGCACTGGAGCCTATAATATAGGTTCGGGATGGGGTCGTTGGGGGACTCGTTCCGCTCTCCCGAAACCACAGCCGCAGCCGCCTCATGCGCTGCTGGGCGGGTTTCGGGTGGAGCCGGTGCCACGGTCCGCCCCGTCGTGGGTCCTTGGCTCGTCGCCGACGTTGCCTTGGGCCTCCATGGCCTCACTATAATTTTGCCGAACCTGAAGTTCAGCCTGAATCCTTTCTGCCTAACATACTTGTAGGATTCATCATCTATTGACATGTTGAGGTTCCACCCTGAACCCTCAACGCTGCCTGCTACGACCTTCCACGCGGAGGTGCTTAAGCCATCATTCTGGTTACCCACCAGATTAAGCACGAATTCGTGGGTTTTGTCGGCGCTCCTCSGGAAGAATGCCACCATGTTATRCAGTGGTGGTATCTCCTCGCYTYTCCGTACACACAGGGCWGGACCCTTCCAACCCTCTAACCGTGGCGTGATTTCCATCAGCCAGGTGGCCGACCTTTCCTCCTGACAGTCGACCAGCAGCATACCGCCCTTAAAGAAAATGCCGTTGAAGGCGCCAGTGTAACCTTTGCCAGTACATATGGCATTGACTATGTAGTCTTGGAGAGCCGTCAGCTGCTCGGACCCTAGGGCCTCCGCAGAGTAGTTGCGGGGCAACACCGCCATCCGGATGCTCTTAACAGCCTGAGAGTACTTTCGGCTGGCGGCTCTCGTCGGTTGCTGGTTGGGGTTGGAGCACTTTCCACTAGCTTCCTGTGGTCTCCCTCCACATATTCTTTTGGGCCTTGGTGGTTCTTGAGGAGTTATATGGCCGCTTTTCCTTTTGTCAATGCGGCTCGGTGCCTCTTGGGGCGCCGGCTTTGCTACACTACGTCCTTCCGACAAGGCAGCTTTAGCTCGGCGACGCCTTTGGTTTCTACGTCTTGTTGCAGACGAACCATTGACACTAGCGCGTTGTGCATTATTAGGAGAGGGATTTCTCAACCTGCTCCTACTCAGAGCCCGCTTTTCCGCTGTCTCCGGTGTCATGCCGTCCTGTAGGAATCTGAGGTACCACTTGAGAGTGGCTCCGCTCATTCCCGCTCTTCGTGGGTCGTGACCTCCTGGTCGTCCTGGCTCCGGGGTACATGGAATGTTCCCTCGTTGTCTTTTTCTTTTGCGCTCGCCCTTTGATTCCACTCTCGTGAAACCACCCTCCTCTCCGCAGTCGATCCTGCTCAAAGGGCTTGTGGGGCCGGCTTCCGCGCGATTTGCTGTGGTCACGGTTGACACACTGCGCTGAGTGCCGCTGCAGGAGGGCACGTCGTCGTCGTCGCGTGCGTGCTCCTCAAAGAGTGCTCGCTCTTCCGGCGACAAGGCATCCAGGAAGCTGAACTTTCGTCTAGCTTCTGGGCCACTCCTGCTCGTKGTACTAGCGCTTCCGCCGCTTTTAGCCGTCGTTGCTGTGGATGTCGTTGCTTTGGTCGCCGTCGTTGTTGTTGTTTTTGTTGTTGTTGGTTTTCCATATTTTTCTTACGACCGTTTGGCCCTTAATGTGAGCCTCCCGATCTATTCTTATTATGGGGAAATCGGAAGTCCGCTGCGCCAGAGCCCCTTGAAGCAGTAAAGCCACCGTTACTTCCCAAGGCGGCCCGGTGTTGGGAAGGCTCCGTACGAATACAGCCGAATATACCTCCTGGCTGCAAATCATCCAATGGGCACGGGTCGCATAACACCCTGGATTAGGGGTGGTAGCTCTTGGTCGCCGCGCACATGCAGCATCACCCCTGGTGGTTGGGAGATGCCGTGCTGTGCTGCGGTTTAAGCCCCTGTACCGCGACAAGGTGCCTACCATTCGCAGAGGGCTATACATCATACAAAGCTATTTGGTCGATAGGATCCAACTCTACGACACTGGCGAAGGATCAAAAAAGTATAGGTAACGGGTGGTATGCCACAAGGCTCTGTGCTAGGCCCACTCTTTTGGAATACATATAATAGAATATTGCGCCCCCCTCTACTGAAAGAAGTGCAAATAATTGGATTCGCAGATGATATTGCGGTGACAACAGTAGCTAAGGTACTCCATAAAATACAAAGTATATGTAGTGATACTGTAGTAAAGATAAAGCGGTGGGTAACGTACGGGCCACAAAACGGAAGCAGTTCTTATAAGCAGAAAAAAACAAGAAATCATTTCACTTAACATAGACGGGCACAATATTACAACTCAATCCCCTGTGAAATACCTTGGTGTAACGATTGATAATACATAAAGCCTATGCTGGAGTGGCACAATCGGGGTTCCGGTTGAGCGCTCTGAGAATAGCCAGTGCATTTCACCCACAAAAACTACAAACACTGTTTTACAAAAGCAACAATCGTCTCACATAGCAACAACAGCGGCACAAGTCAATGTGGCCGCCAAATATTCGATGCCCAAATTTGTAGAAAAACACTCAACAACATTTTTATTCATGAACGCAAGTGTACTTTGAACAAGTATACTCGTTTTATTCATAAAAACAAACACCTTTACATCTTTTCAAGCATGCCTTTGCCTACAAGTTTGTTTTCGCGACGATTGCAAAAGCTAAAATTTATAAATTAAACAATTTCTGATATTCTTCAAAGGGAACAATGTCAACCCCGCAATCACGGAAATACAGAAAAAAAAATTACAAAATTTGGAAAATAGCAATTGTCGATTTAAAATATTTTACAATTCTAAAATATTTTCCGCGGCTAGCAAAAATCTGCATCGATGTGTATCGAGCTTATACATAAACATAAACATTTACGCTGATTTGTTGGCGAAGCTTTTGAGCGATGACAATCGGTGATCGTTCGTTTGTATTTTTAAACACAGCTCGGGTTTTCTACCAACATTATAATGTTGTGACGCCATTGGTTGTCACGGGCAATGGAGTTTTGTCCGTGAAACGCAAAAGAGGAATTCCTTTGCTTCTGCAAGATTCACGATGACACAAAATACAAAAATCCTATACAGAAGTATGCAAGGGCACGAGAGCACCCATTGCAGAATCTAGTGATATAAGAACGGCTGATTCGGTGCATGACTATTTTAACGAGTATTGTAACTGAATAAATAAATAAAACACAACAAATTGCGAAAAATTAACGAATTTATTTTCTAAAAATGACACACACTTCTGAGAAACAAAAACTTGTCAATTTTATAATTGAAAAAGTCGCTATCAGAATTGCAAACCAATTCTGGTTTTAAATGGTTTTACAGAATCTGATTGGATTTTCGTCTTTTCGAACATATGCAAAACCAATATTCGAACCAGCTGTTTACTAATGTGACACGACTTGCAAATTAATACATTTGGAAGCAATCCTATTATATTAAAGTTTTTAGTAAGTTCCGAATAAAAGGAAGATTTTAAATGTGCGATTTCTTGGTTTTTAATTTTTACGATTTTTCTTAATTGGCAGACAGGATAAGAAAAACTAAACGTCGTATGGAATTGGGGCAAAGTTTATTATCTTTGGCATTAAATTATCTTCTATTTAAATTGAAATATACTAAGAAAATTTAAATTTGAACATATGTCTACAATAAATTTTTTTAGACAAAAACCAAACTCTTTTCCAAATTTTATAAAATTTTAGTATTTTACATGATACTTTTTCTTTATATTTTCCCAGTTTAACTTGAACATAAACTATTACAAACTATGAATCTCTTTGAATTTTTTCTCTCCGATAGAAATCGAGACCTGCATTGTGTCCGCCGTCTGACGGCGATAAGCATCTAGCAATTGCTTTTCAAAGCAAATTTAAAAGATTTCGTATAAAAAAAAATTACGGATGATGTTTAAATATATGTATAACTATAAATCCCAGAAATTTCCCTTCCATCAATTATTTCTTTCCTTCCCAAAAAAATCCTCCTCCCTTAAATATCCGATTTTTTTTTTTCAAAAACTCAATAGTTAAGACATTTCGTGTTTTATACTTATGTTTTCCCCTATAGAAATAAAGAAAAATCTATTCGAAATAATAAAATAACTTGATTTCTTAACATACATTTCAAATCTGTGAGCGGCTATCTTCTTGCATTATTTCTGATGCAGAACCAATAAAATTGGTTTCCTTGACACCCAAAACCGATACAAAATCTATTTTTGATCGGTTTCAATCCTGATTCCGACAACTATCAGATTCTATAACACCCCTGATTACTGCATCTGGATGGTAATCGTTTATTTCTCTTTTTTAGGCTTTAAAAAATCAAAAATTTTAACTTTTTAGACAACGATAGCTATTGGAAAACTATGGCTAAATTGGAGGAAAGTCTTACAGTTATCTCATCGAGCTATCGAGGAAATTATCAAAATGTGCCTAAGTGTTTGGGATGAAGATCTAATGTTTTTGACTATTTAGACGAAGGACGCTTCCAACAAATGCTCTGAGTCTCAAGAGATCAGCTTACGTTGCTATTGTCTTTGATAAAAGACAGTGCACAGTTTAACACCCTAAAATTTCGGGAG